TCTGCGGGCACGAGGCCGGCCTGCCCTGCCAGCTGCACCGGGACCAGTTAGGACCTGGCCTGTCGGTGCCCTGGCTGTGCCGGCCGGCCGGCCTGACCCACTCCCCCGGGCCCGCTGGACGTCCGGGCACAGCCAGCCCGCCGGCCTGGGTCACTGGCGGCACCCCACCCGTAACGTCACAGGACCCGGGGCGGTAGCCTCGGCAGCCCAACGTCACAACACACCCAGACCATTTCATTGCTGCGATCAATCGCCGTTGCTGACATGATCGCCATGTACGGCATGTAAGCGAGCACGTACGGACGTGGTAGGGACGGGGCCGCGGCGTTTTCTTGCCGGTAGCACCCGATAATATGCGAAATGCGCCGCTTTGAATCGTGTTCGGCTGGAGCGAACGTTGCACGCAGTACGATGTGGGCGTACACTACCCCGGGCCGCTGGAATTCATGGCATTCCAGAATACTTGGCTGCCCGGACGCTGCTCGCATGGGCGCGGGTACCTGAAGCTGGTACATGGCCACGTGCCCGTGACAGCAATAGTCTGGGCGCAAAATGACCGCGGATGTCGACACGCCCTTAAGCCCAAATAACAACAGGTGCGCTGTACACCTGCCCCGGTGTTAAAGGGAGGTGTTAAGGGGAGTGTCCGGCGTAAAATCGGTGTTAAAGAGAGCATCCCGCTTTTTTGCTCCTTTCACAGAACACGCGTCCAATTCGGCTGGCGATTTCTTGAAATTGTCAGTAGCTCAGAATCTCCATTTGAAGCAACCGCTCCGACGGGAGAAATGCCGTTAGAGTCCCTGCATATCACTATGGAAGTACTGGTTTTGTTGCGTTATGTAATGCGTGCGTTATGTCAATGTCATGTTGATGTCATGCGTTATTAAATGTATGTAATGGGCAATGTACTAACTAGCCAACATTCTTTTGCAAGAAATGCAAGGACGGCATGACAATTATTAATGGGAAAATGTATACAAATGTGAGGCCATTATCACCCGAGTTCAACGCAACGTCATGCTAGAGCTTTCATTTTTCCCTCACGTCATTGAGCACAATGGACCTTTTCGAAACGCGCTTTGGCTCTGGGGAACATTGTTTGCATTACGAACGTTCATTTCCACTGGCGACATTCTTACCCATAAGTGACCCAACGCATTCTGACCACAACACACAACACATGAGCTGTATGAACGGCGTAGTTGATGGGGCTTGCGGCTAGCTCTCTCTATCAGGCCAAACTGTGTGCCATTTTTGGACGAGATGGACGTGAAATCTTCGCATACAGTCGCACAGGTTTCGACGAATATCTCACTTGGAGGTCTTGTATACGCAAAGATCACCCTTTCCATAAATGACATCTGGAGTTGTAATGAATACAAAAGTGCAGTGCTGTTCTGAAAGGTGGACTGCGTGGTTTCCACTCGAATATTGCGTGGTATATCTTGATTTTTTCAGCGGCGCTGTCCGGTGGTAGCATAAGGCATAACCAACATTAAAGTTTCACCAGAGTATGTTTTGTGATATCCCCCAAAGGTGGCACGTTCCTGCATGTGTCGGTCGCCAGGCGTTAGGTTCACATCGGAGTCGGGTCACTCAGCGCCCCCGCTATAGGAGTCGGGTCACCCAGCGCCCCCGCTATAGGAGTCGGGTCACCCAGCGCCCCCGCTATAGGAGTCGGGTCACCCAGCGCCCCCGCTATAGGAGTCGGGTCACCCAGCGCCCCCGCTATAGGAGTCAGGCCACCAGGCGCCCCCGCTATAGGGGTCAGGTCACCAGTCGCCCCCCGCTATAGGAGTCAGTCACCGGGCGCCTCCGCCATAGGAGTCAGGTCACTGGGCGCCCCCGCTATAGGGGTCAGGTCACTGGGCGCCCTCGCTATAGGAGTCAGGTCACTGGGCGCCCCGCTATAGGATTCAGGTCACTGGGCGCCCCCGCTATAGGATTCAGGTCATTGGGCGCCCCCGCTACAGGAGTCAGGTCACCAGGCGCCCCCGCTATAGGGGTCAGGCCACCAGTCGCCCCCGCTATAGGAGTCGGCCACCGGGCGCCTCCGCTATAGGAGTCAGGTCACTGGGCGCCCCCGCTATAGGGGTCAGATCACTGGGCGCCCGCGCTATAGGAGTCAGGTCACTGGTCGCCCCCGCTATTGGGGTCAGATCACCGGGCGCCCCCGCTATATGATTCAGGTCACTGGGCGCCCCCGCTATAGGAGTCAGATCACCGGGCGCCCCCGCTATATGATTGAGGTCACAGGGCGCCCCCGCTATAGGAGTCAGGTCACCGGGCGCCCCCGCTATTGGGGTCAGGTCACCTGGCGCCCCCGCTATTGGGGTCAGGTCACTGGGCGCCCCGCTATAGGAGCCAGGTCACTGGGGCCCCGCTATAGGAGTCAGGTCACCGGGCGCCCCCGCTATAGGAGTCAGGTCACTGGGCGCCCCGCTATAGGAGTCAGGTCACTGGGGCCCCCGCTATAGCAGTCAGGTCACTGGGGCCCCCGCTATAGGAGTCAGGTCACTGGGGCCCCCGCTATAGGAGTCAGGTCACCGGGCGCCCCCGCTATAGCAGTCAGGTTAACGTGTCAGCTGTGTCCGAGCTCTGTCGCCTCCCGTAGAGGAAGTTGTCGCGAACGTGGAGTCCACCAGTGTCCACCGACGGTAGTTCAGCCCAGTGGACTGTCGTGGGCAGCATCAGTGAGGTCCTAATCGCGCGCCACCTCGTCATCCCCGGGACGGCGCGCTGCTGATGGCAGGTCCGTACCTCGCGAAGGATCGTGCCTGCTCTCTCCTGTCTCTCCTGAGTCAAGTAAGAGAACGCTGTTGACAGGTTCGGAAAATCTGGAGCGGCAGTTTGAAGTCTTCGCTTTCAGTTGATGATTCATCAGTCATTCTGATGGGGTTTTCAGGGATCATCGCATCTTAGCATTGCAGCTTCACAAATTAGGCTGTAGAGACCTCATCCCACTCGCGAACGCTTTTCAACGCCAGGTGGGATCGAATTGATTGCCTCTCGAAAACGTTGCAACGCTCGGCAAAGGCTGCGGGAGTGGCAGGGTGTGTATGACTGTGTTTGTTTGGCGTGGGTATTCTCGGAGCGCGCGGTGAACCTGCTGAAGAACGGGCACGTCCGTCTTTGTCGACCCCCCGCGCGTCTGTCCGCGCCGACCCCTGCGGGTCTGTCTGCGCCGACCCCGCGCGTCTGTCCTCGCCGACCCCGCGCCTACACCTGCAGGTTGGGCTACTGCTGCTGCCCGCGGTCTTGCCATCCGGGCGGGCCGATCACTGTGTCGAGCACCCGCCGCCAAACGCACCGTCGCGCTCCAAGCCGGAGGCGCGCACTGACGGCGCTGTGGCGATGGCTGCTCTCCAAAATTTGCTGGACTGCAGCGCTTGCTCCCATTGTTTGCGCGCGTGCGGTGCGCCACACGGGGCCCAATCGTGCCACATGTGTCGCTAGTGCTTTCTTTGGCCCCTGATTGGAGCTGTAAAGATTTTCTATCCACCAGTGTTCTCGAAAGAAAATGCTCGTGAACTGGCCTGCAATGTGGGTCTGCTTGATCCAAGCGAATCAAGAGCCCAGGTAGTCACTTACCTATTTGGCTTAGTGGTCTGTTTCACCAACTGACCTGCACTTAAGGGGTAATGGAACTGGCCATTTAATAATAGACGACGCGCGGGTCAGCCGGGGATAGTAATCACCATGACCGTGTGGGGCGCCGTACCGTTTCGCCGTCCATGCCAGCCAGACACCGCCGGACCGACGGAAATAGCTGCATAACCGCCCAGGGGGACGGCTATGTCCGACACGTGGTGGAATACTCGGGCCGGTATTTCGACGCTGCGGCCGTCTTGCCGTATCAGAGGCGTGACGCGCCGGTGCCGGTGCACGCGGCGAGGTCGATACCCACGCCGACGCCGGCGGCGTGGAGCTCACGGCCCTGCGGCCGGCCCCCTCCGCGCTGGGCGACCGGCCGCGCCGGGTCAGCCGGCGGACCGAGCCACGGAGCGAGAGCGAGTTTGGCAACTGAGCAGCAGGCTGCGCGGCTCGCCGTGGTGCGACTTTTCCGCGCGGACGGTCTGGAGCGGTGTCAAAAAAGGGCAATTTCTGGGGCCCTGAAAGGCACTGCCTGCCCCCCCCCCCCCCCCCAACAAGAAAGTGGGCTAAAAGTGGGTACTATTTGCCGACCAAAGGAAGTTTTTTTTGTACCCTCGCCACACTAAAAGTTACATTTACAGCCCACCAAAATTACGTAGTACTGATTGTTTTCTGGTGGACGCGGTCCTCATCATGCACCGTAAAATGCCGCTTTTTGGTTTAGTTACAGACAAACGGTACAGGATCATTCAGAGGGCTCCTCCCTGTAGCCCTGCACCCCTGTATCCCTGTAACCCTGTACCCCTGTACTCCTGTACCCCTGTACCCCTGTAACCCTGTACCCCTATAACCCTGTACCCCTACAGCCTCACCCCTGTATGCAATCTAAATGTTTGTTGCTGGCTGAAGATGTGCACAAACTTAGAAACAACCTCAAGTTCTGATTCGGAGCATAGCAGCTGTGGCGCAGATCAGGGGCGTCGGGGCGTGACGATGTTACAACCTAGAATGTTGTCGAGCCAATTCCAGCTTTAAGGGCTGCGCTGAGCTGCTCCGCATGGCCACTTTGTGAATGTCTGGCGGGTGTTCGATGTCGACCGGGCACAGCCATGTAGTGATAAGGCTGGCGGAAGCCCGCCGCGGGCAGCTCTCAACTCTGGCGGGCACAGCCGATGTAGTGATGGGGCTGGCGGAAGCCCGCCGCGGGCAGCTCTCAACTCTGGCGGGCACAGCCGATGTAGTGATGAGGCTGGCGGAAGCCCGCCGCGGGTGACGTCGGCCCGTCAGATCACGCAGACATGCCAGCCGATGTGCCCGCTGTGGCAGCGCTGAACACTAACGCGACGGGACCGACTCCGGTGCGCCGCGGCAGCTGACGCTCGTCTCCGTGTGGCCTGTCTGCGCAGGGTGGAGTTCACCGACTCTCTGGGTCGGTCCCGAACGGTGATGCGCCGGGATCTGGCCGAGTACCGACGGCGGGACCTCGGCAGGGACCCGGATGGTGACCCAGCGCAGGTGAGCTAGTGTCACTGACGGGGGACCTCAGCATAGGCCCAGCTGGCCACCTTTCCAGGTGAACTAGCGCCACTAGCGTGATGAAGAACAGGTCTTCGTAAAATCTTGCAGTGCTGTTACCTTTTCTTAAAATCTTCGTAAAATCTTGCAGTGCTGTTACCTTTTGATGCTTTGTTCGAGGGAACACGTGCGTCTACTGGAGGGCCTTAATGCAACATACAGCAATCGCCGACGCACGGGCACTCTTGGTATTCATGTAGTCAAGCCGGCGCCGGAGGAGAACCTTCGATTCAGGTTTGTCAAGTGTCGAGTTTGCGTCTTATCTAAATGATGCATGTGTGTGTCTGGTTACTGTCCGGCTTGAATCTACTGGGCTACCTTGTCGTTTGATGTCAGGGCATCGATCGAGACAAGAGCCAGACAAGTAGTGCCATATGGGTCTCGTCGCTCGTGCATTACCTGTGTTGCGAACGATCCCGGCGAGGATGATAATAATTTGTGTATTATGGCGCACCGACTGTGTTGGTGATATGGTGCCCGTAGATCCTGCAACGCTGTCGAACTCTGGCTCGGGCGCAGACATGCCAGCCATGGTCTCCGGTGTATGATACCAAACATTCCGTGGTATCTTACGGCAGTGTGCAGTGTGCAGTGTGCCTGTCCCCCGGGTCAGTCCTTTGTTCATTAATTTCCCTGGAGTGGCTCAGCTCTGTGTACCAGATAGATACATCTGTCCTCCAGCTCTGTCTGGTGAGTTGCCCTTGCGTGTTCCGTTAGTCCTTCACGTGCAACTCCCCCGGCATACTGCCGATGAGTTTTCCGTGTATCTGTTTGGTGCATCTGGTATGTGGGCCTTGGGAATTCACTCCACAGATTGTCCGTCGCCAGGCCACGCCTTCCCCGTGGTCGCCTCAGTGCTGCATGCTTGTGACGCGCGTTGGCCTGGTACCGTGAGTCTGTCTGCGAATTTCCCGTGGTCATTGCCGTGAGTCGGTCCTGTGAGTCCGCCGCTTCCGTGAGTTCGTCCCGTGAGTCGGTCCTGCGAGTCCGTCGCTTCCGTTAGTTCATCCCGTGAGTCGGTCCTGCGAGTCACCGCGTTCGTGAGTTCGTTCCGTGAGTCGGTCCTGCGAGTCCGCCGCCTCCATGAGTTCATCCCGTGAGTCAGTCCTGTGAGTCCGCTGCTTCCGTGAGTTCGTCTCATGAGTCAGTCCTGCGAGTCTGCCGCTTCCGTTAGTTCATCCCGTGAGTCGGTCCCGCGAATCATCGCTTCCGTGAGTTCGTCCCGTGAGTCGGTCCTGCGAGTCCGCCGCTTCCGTGAGTTCGTCCCGTGACTCGGTCCTGCGAGTCCGCCGCTTCCGTGAGTTCGTCCCGTGACTCGGTCCTGCGAGTCCGCCGCTTCCGTGAGTTCGTCCCGTGAGTCGGTCCTGCGAGTCCGCCGCTTCCGTGAGTTCGTCCCGTGACTCGGTCCTGCGAGTCCGCCGCTTCCGTGAGTTCGTCCCGTGACTCGGTCCTGCGAGTCCGCCGCTTCCGTGAGTTCGTCCCGTGAGTCGGTCCTGCGAGCCCGGTCTCCCATTGACGCACCGCTCTCCGCCAGACGCCCGAACTCGTGTCGGAGGACGCACGGCGAGAACAGCTGCGACAGCAATGGCAGCAGCAGGAGCTGGAGAACGCCTCAAAAACTGACATCCATTACCAGGATGTGCTCTTCAACGGTGAGTACCCACTTTTCTTTCGGAGGCGTCAATTTGAGGCCATTTGCTCGCTGAAAACGCGAAATGCGCCGGGAGTAGCATCGAGTTCTCTTGCAATAGTCCGTACCACCCTTCGGGCCGTGGACGACGTCACCTTGGCGTCACATCCTTAGACTCCTGACGTCTGAGCAGTGTCACTCGATACAATGAGCAAATGCTATTCACCGCACACCGGGGACGTCAGTATGACGTCATGCGTGCGCGCCGTGGTCGGAGCGCGTCTCATGAACCAGTGATGGCCACCGCTCCTTCGCTGGCCTTATACTGGCATCACCATCGCTCTGAGCGCGTCTCATGAACCAGTGATGGCCACCGCTCCCTCGCTGGCCTTATATTGGCATCACCATCGCTCTGAGCGCGTCTCATGAACCAGTGATGGCCACCGCTCCCTCGCTGGCCTTATATTGGCATCACCATCGCTCTGAGCGCGTCTCATGAACCAGTGATGGCCACCGCTCCCTCGCTGGCCTTATATTGGCATCACCATCTGCTCTGAGCGCGTCTCATGAACCAGTGATGGCCACCGCTCCCTCGCTGGCCTTATATTGGCATCACCATCGCTCTGAGCGCGTCTCATGAACCAGTGATGGCCACCGCTCCCTCGCTGGCCTTATATTGGCATCACCATCGCTCTGAGCGCGTCTCATGAACCAGTGATGGCCACCGCTCCCTCGCTGGCCTTATATTGGCATCACCATCGCTCTGAGCGCGTCTCATGAACCAGTGATGGCCACCGCTCCCTCGCTGGCCTTATATTGGCATCACCATCGCTCTGAGCGCGTCTCATGAACCAGTGATGGCCACCGCTCCCCTCGCTGGCCTTATATTGGCATCACCATCGCTCTGAGCGCGTCTCATGAACCAGTGATGGCCACCGCTCCCTCGCTGGCCTTATATTGGCATCACCATCGCTCTGAGCGCGTCTCATGAACCAGTGATGGCCACCGCTCCCTCGCTGGCCTTATATTGGCATCACCATCGCTCTGAGCGCGTCTCATGAACCAGTGATGGCCACCGCTCCCTCGCTGGCCTTATATTGGCATCACCATCGCTCTGAGCGCGTCTCATGAACCATGATGGCCACCGCTCCCTCGCTGGCCTTATATTGGCATCACCATCGCTCTGAGCGCGTCTCATGAACCAGTGATGGCCACCGCTCCCTCGCTGGCCTTATATTGGCATCACCATCGCTCTCGACTTGGCACGCGCCGCCGCGATGAACAGCAACGCTTCGAGATAGCGGTACTTGAACGTTTACAAGGCGTTCCTCCTCATGCGAATATTTGAAGGTCGAGAGGCGTTTTGTAATCCATCGCTAATCTTTGGCACGAAATGTATCAGACGGTATTCTTTGTCAGACTTCGTACAACAACGTAGTTTCAAGCGGGCTTTTCCCCTGGGTCGTTATGGTCGCCTTTCTGACCAGTTGCAAGACCGCCACATTCATGAAGTCGAGACCAAGCGAGTGCTGCTTCTTGTCAATGAGTCTTATTTTTATGTTATGTCAAATAGGCAATCGTTGCTTGGGGAAGAACAGAATGCATTGAAGCTTGTGTATTGTACGGAAAAAGCCGTATCTGCTCAGCGTGTGGTGTGATGCTTCAGTAGTGCACAAGACGCACGAGATGGATAGGAAACTTTGACGTCATGCTCATAGACTATCACATTAGCGAGGAAGTCGGATTAGCAACGATCAGATCAGATTAGCTTTAGTCAGATAAGCAACGCAAAATACCCATTGTTTGCCAGACCGATGTTTGTTTTACGTACCAGCTGCTCATTAACAGGCGACCAGATGTGCACGCTCGCACTGATCCGCGGCACAAATAACTTTATTTCAGCACTCGCAATACCAGTTAAGTGTGTGTGGATGCCACGTCACCCCCGACTGAGAAAGCGGAAAGCCACCCATGGTGAAATAACCCAGCAGGTCAAATGGGGTTGGGATGGAAGGATAAGTCCAGTTCGTTATTGGAGATGAATCCAGTTTAGCAGCCATGTCGTCATGTGTTTACGAAATTTAAGCGACCGTCTTTTATTCACCAATATGAAAATGAGTTCGTGACGTAGGTCCGTTAAATAATGTGCGACGTAACACGTCAATTTTCTAGTTAATCATGCTTTTAAACCGTTCTGTATTTATGCGTACATGCATATATTAATATATGTATATATATATATATATATATATATATATATATATATATATATATATAGTCAATATATTCATGGATATAGTTTTGTGACAAACGTGGGTGAAATGTTAAGTTCAAAATGTTTAAGTGTTGAAGTTTTGTTTAGAAACTCAGATGTCTTTTACTATGCCCAGTCATAAGTATGGGGTCTCTGGGTTCAAAGTCGTAGTGCATTTATCTATTGGTATTCGGACACCGAAGACAACTTATAAAAACGATATAGGCCTGCGATTTTTTTACGAACTTACCGCCTCTTGTGAGCATGGAAAATGCTGTTGCTGGCAGAGGGTAAGTTTGGGAACTTCACCCGCCGTAATGTCACATTTTGCTTGGTTTCACACCAAAAAGTTTAAAAAAGTCGACCATCATGGCTATTCCTTACTGAGCTGTTGATGTCATAGTGATATGAAATAATTTTTTTTGCAAAAGCGTAGGGGAGTCGCATGCACTTTCGTGTGCACTGATACAGAGAGGATATTTACATGCACAAAGCATTCAGATAAAATTTTGCAGACTTCCTTAATGCTTGTCTTTGCAGAATCGCCCTTTATCAGAGTTGCGTTGGGCATGGTAGTGTCCTTGTTCAAGCGTTTCCTGAGCACCTGCCGTGCTTCGGCATGGACATGATTAATGCCATTGGCATCGCCTCCTTTCCACTCCTCAGAAAACTTGCTTCCATCAAGTGTGTTGTCTTTTCTCGATGTTACTCCCATTCTGTGCGAGGATGTAGGTACCATCGGCGTGTGAAGTAATGCGTGAATCAGTCTGAGGTCAGGTCACGGCCAAGGTCAAAAGGACGCTTGGGCCGGGATATGCATGAGGAGACAGTTGACCTCGACCAAGCATGTCGCACACCATCATACCAATATGTACATAGCGGAATGCATGTGGTGAGTTGCTGTCCAATGCGTGCATGAAAGTTGCGAGGCGTTCTGCTCCGTGCAGAGTTCAGTTCTAGGCAACCATTCCCTGCATACGGACCTCATTGGTCCAAATGCACGACCAGCTAGGCTTCCTTTCGTTGCAAGAGTCTGTCGTCGTCCCGAATTTCTCGATCACATATAGGTGTCAGGACTCATTACTGAGGGTGGGCGCTGATCCCAGAAATCAATCCAAGCAAGATAATCAAGATACAGTCAACGCGAGCTCCAAAGCACGCCAGAGCTCCCGCAGTTCATTTAGACTGTCTGGGTGACGTTACTCTGTTTCCGTTGGTGCCTCTCAGCAGCATGAGGTAGGCCCAGGCTCATTCGCGCTAAGTTCGGCTACAGCTGTGTATGGAGACCGGACTTCACTAGGTTAACGTGGCGATTAAGCTGACTTCAAACTGAGCTTTTTGTCTTTCGTTCGCGTGTAGCTGTGAGCAAATTGTGTGTTAGTCATGTGACTGTTAGGAAGGAGAAACCGGGGCGATCGCGCCGACACAATCGGTTGGTGCAGATCACCAGATGAATCCGGGGTGGCGGTGCTCGCTGTTTGGGCCGCACTGAGATGTGTCTTGAGACAAGATCACGTGCAGCATGGTCAGGACCCAGCCAGAAAGGAAAAGGGTAGACGTGAGGCACGGACTGCTGTGAAAGCCACGGACATCTTTTGACGCGGGAAATGCGTGACGCAGGCGGCTTTGCCAAGTCGTCCGGGAAATGCCGTTTAGAACAAGCGCAAGTTGCAAAGACGTTTTTAGAGGTCGAGCAGTAAGCACCCCCGGTTCCCAAGTGTGGGGGGGGGGGGGGGGTGAATCCCGGTTGGCACCATGGCCCATGAGTACTAATCCCCCGCAGGGATTCGGCGCGCACGCGAGTGTTCCGTAACGACAGGTCACGCTCCCGCGGGGGCTGATCACCGCCGCCCGGCTCTCCGCCGGTGCGTCTCGGCTGCAGCAAGCACCGCCGTTCAATCCCCGCTGGGGAGCTCTCCTGCGCTCGGGTCTCCGCGTCGTAAGCCTGCGCCGCGGATCTCCACCTGTGGGTCACCGCCGCGGAAATTTCCGTCGCGAAAATCTCCGCCGCAGGGTCCCTGCCTCTCGACCTGGGTCGTGGTAGTCCGCGCCGCGGTGGGTTCAGCTGATCAGGTCTCCGCCGCACGAGGCTCCGCCGCCGGGATCGCGGCGCGCTGGCCGCCGTCATTTAGCAGGCGGCGGCCAGCGTGAGGACGAGCAGGGCTGGAAGGGTGGCCGCTCCCTGGCCGCCGGCCGGCGGCGCGCTGGACTTGGCCTCCCACTGCTGCACCCGGTCGGCGGCGTTACAGCGCGCAACGTTGCACGGGCAGACTGTCAGACCACGCTCATTTGAGCACCGCAGGTCCGAGTCGAGCGGCACCCGGCCGCAGCTGAGTGCCTCCCAGTTACCTGCGGGGACGGTGGCGGGGACGCGTCAGTGAAGTCGACGTCAGCGGGGCGGCGTCGGTTTGCGCACTTCCGCTGAGGGCACTACCGCTGAGGGCACTACCGCTGAGAACACTGCCCGTAAGGGCACCGCTGGTGGGGGTGCCGTCAGCGAGACATTGCCAGTAAGGGCACCATCATGGAGGGCGCCGTCAGCGAGACATTGCCAGTGAAGGCACTATCAGCGAGGGCGCCGTCAGCGAGGCAGTGCCAGTGAAGGCACTATCAGCGAGGGCGAGGCCAGCAAGGGCAGCGCCATTGAACCCGATGCCAGCGAGCGCTACGTCCGTGGAGGCCACATCAAGCCAGGGTTGAGCCATGCGTAGAAGATAGAACAGCGGGGTCGTTAGCCGGCTACCGGCGAAGGCGACGTGTGCGCGCCTGACCCATTTGGAGACGGCTTGGGCATGTGGCTTGCCCCACTTACTGTGCGTAATGTGGAGGCAGACGGCTTCCTCGTGGTTCCCAGGGCAGCTAGCCTGGGCTGGTTCTTTGGTGTGGACGAATTGGCCGCACACCTGTGACGGGGAGGGGGAAGGGGAGGGGGGACGGTCAGTGCCGGCTGAAGAGGCTGGTCTGATGGGCGGTTCGATCAGCCGGCATGAGCGCGCCAAGGCCTCCCTGTGTCCGTGACGTCATTTGTGCGGGAAAGGCGTCCGTGCGACATTTGGTATTGAGTAGGTGACGGTGTCACATGGCAAACAATATATTTCACCTACAAGTTCACCTTTCACCTGCGGTTCACCTGCATCTCGGCTCACCTCTAGTTCGATTCAGCTGCACCTCGACTCACCTCCAACGCGGTTCACCTGCAGCTCAGCTCACCTCTAGCTCGGTTCACCTGCAGATCGGCTCGCCTCTAACTCGGTTCACCTGCATCTCGGCTCGCCTCTAGCCTGGTTCAATTGCAGCTCGGCTCACCCCTCGTTCGGCTCACCCGCAGCTCGGCTGCCCTGTAGCGCGCTTCACCTATAGCTCCCCGGACGCCTGACTGGTGGCTGGGCTCACCTGAAAATCAGTCTCGGCCTTGTCCTCGAATGTCCGGCTGATGTTGGCGCGCCACTTGTTGGCCTCACGCATTGCCACTTTGTTCCCACTCAGCGCCGGAACGCAGACGTTGCAGAGCAGACACTCGCCTACGGCAACGGCGGCACAGGGGTCGAGCTCAGGTCAGTGGTCAGTTTAACTCAGGAAGGAGCGCAGCGAATGCCATCATTTTCCGGCTTCTTTACCAAACAAGCAGCTGGAGAAGTTCGGCTGCGGTCCCACGCCACTGGCCGTTGAGCGATTAAACCGTAGTGCCCCCTGCTGCGCTCACTGTTCACTGTAATCACGTCAGCCAAAACACATTCCCTGGTCTCGGTGACGCGCCCAGACATGCCTTTGGGGAATGACACTTAAGATTCCGTGAAAAGGGACAATAGTCGTCATGCACGAATGAGTGTGTGCCGGGGAGGGACTGATGGGGGGGGGGGGGGGGAGGGAGGGAGTCTTCGCAGCCCACGCGCTGTATACACCGCCGCCGGACTATTGAACGCCCGTGACGGCGTCACGGGGTGGGCAGGCGCAACAGAGCGGGCAGCTGTTTCCGTTTGTTTTGTTGAAAGGTGTAGCTCATGGTTGATGGCAATAAATGACGGACGTGATATTTTACTAAGCCAATAAGGTGAAAGGCCTTTCTTAAACTTACGAAGTACCGCTACTTGAGGAAAGCTTTTGTCCGCTCGAATATCGTTTTAGTCTTCAGTTCCGCAGTGGAAAGCCTGGAACAACCAAAACTTGATATGAACTTACGTTAGGAAACCTTATATTTGAGTTGTGAAATATTTTATATTTGCTCTTTCCCCAAAAAGAAATTGTGAAATCGCTCAGTAGCCATTTTCACAGCTGCTTAACGCGCGCCACATTTTGAACCAGCTTAGGTATTTGGGTAAACCAAGCAGGTATATCGATGCTACGAGATGCCTCCTCCCAATACATTTAATTTAAAAACTTGGAAACCTGCGTTGCGTTCCCGCCCATAGACCGTATGCGCCTTATGCTTGACGCGCTGTAGATCTCCACGTGACATGATTCCTGGAGGCATCCCATTTTTGCCTTGCAATATTTTACGCGAGCTTTTATACCAAACATTGATTACGAATATTTCTGGGCTGGACGTCAACGACGAGCAGTATCGTGCTGGTTGTTGCGTTAGTCGTAACCTCACCATCGGATAGTGAAATTTCCGAGCAGCGCAGAACTTTGTGGCGAATGCGTAAAGTGCCGCCATGTTCGGCGCGCCGCATCCTGCCTTCTGACGTCACCTGGTCTTGATCGTTAAGGCTTACACCTGTCGTGGACTTCACGACTCTACCCCATTCCGCCACTGGTGGGTAGATGGGAAGATAGGCATGCTAATGATCATAATTATTGGTAACGCACATTTATTTTGCCAGTAACGCCACAATCTTCATCGCGTTTGCTTGTCGTTGGACGCCAATATTGCGGTATGGAACACGTCCCATTGGTCGGCTATCCAGAGTCGGTATAGACGTCTGCATGATAGCCACGGCCGAGGCCGCCGTGCGTTATTAGGGCTGTCGGTGGGATGTGGCGGGCGACCGATGCGGTACAGATACCGACCAATGCCAGCTTGACTAGTCGACAGCGAGGTGCTGCTTCGATCACGTTCGGGTCTGCCTCCAGGCGAGGCTGAAGGTGCATTCACAGCGTACGAGCAATTCTCTGCTCCTTGTGACGTCACGTGGAATGTTTGCCGGGCGTGTTCGCAGCTTGGTACGTTTTCTGTTCACACGTTCGTAGTATTCACGACAATAGGTGCTTCTGCAGGACTTAGCTATTATTGTATGTACCAAGCGTGTACAATGCTTGCTGACGAGCGTGGGTAACATATGAGAGCCGCAAACTTCGATGTTTGTTACGTCGGACACGCTCCCTTTTTACACGTCAACTGTTGTATCCGCACAAATTAAGTTGTTAAAAATGGACGTTTTGCACGATTCTGTGGTACTTCGTTCAAAATGATTGAAAAAGACGGCACGTCCGACAAAAATTATACGTGATGTCAGGTAAAATCTTTGCCATCCGTGTTTCACGGAATATGTAAAGGAATCTCAGGATCCGTGGGTATGACGTCCTAATTGACGTCGATCGCATAGATTCTTTGTCGTCCGAGTGTCTGCGAATTCACCCCGAGGCTCGCCTGAGACTGGTCCTCGAGGCTTCCAGTTTCCAAGGCAATCTTAGGCTTTCCGCGCGTGGTGGAGAAATGTCCTGACAAGTAACTGGGATGTGAGACGAACGACGTATTCAAAATGGCGTTGCGAGCACCAGATGTGATGCACTGTACTCCTGGCTGGGATCAAATCGAATCAGAAGGTTTTACGGGTGGAATGCGAGAAAGTTTTCAAGGTAATTGGCCACAGGTCAAACAAATCAACGGCAGTCTGCTATACGACGCGCTTTGGTTCAGAACAAGGTGGCGGAGCGAGACTCGTTTGGAGCCCCGCGTGAGGCTGTGGGACCTTAGGGCGTCTGACAACATCCCGAACATGTTTGCCAGGCGCGCGATGTTGTATTTGGATGCAGCTGACTGGCTGGCCGGGAGCCGCCGGTTCTGCCGCTCATCAGGCTGTGCGTCTGCAAGCAAGCGTCCTCGTACCTCGTGATGGGGGTAGCCCAACCGCCTGCCTTCAGCGGCGAATGGAACGGTGGTCCCTGGATTGATTGTCTTGCTTGCATGCTATTGTGCATCCTTGATATCTATCCTAGCATCATCTGCTGTGTATAGTTGAATCGTTTTCCTGTCGCATGCATTTTTTTTAGTTGCGGTGTTATGAATGATGCTTGCTTCCAGGTATGCATTTATGCTCACCACATCATACCCCATTGTCATAAGTCAGCCCTTCAGGGGCAAATGAAGCAGTCTGCATTCCAAGACGCGCGTGTCCGCCAGGGATGGGTCAGATACCGTCATATATGGTTGATGGCCTGATCAGCTGGAGACGAGTGCAGTCGCCTTCGACTGGGCCGGACCTCGCTCGGCCAGCCGAAGACAGCCCGCTGCTGTCGGCGGTGCGTGGTTGTCGCGCCCCGCTCGGAGCTCATCACGCTCTCATGTTGTCCACCTCGTCACGGAAAAATCATGCAGAGGCGAGGGATGTGGTCGATGCCCCTCAGATCATTGTTTACACTGGGTGCGAACATTGTCACGTTCTACCGGTTGTTTGGTTGTCTGGATTAGATCCTTTTCGGTCAGACATGATCATTTCAGGACTATGGGATGAAGGATGGGGTTAACAACGGGGCAGACTCGCGTGCGCCTGGGGGGCCAACCGCCGAGCTTAAGCCCGCGCATGCGCGCTGGGTACCCGATCGGGGTCCCCTTCTCATGGGGCTCTCGGCCCACTCGTGGCTGACACATGCAGCCTGCCCTGGACAAGCGGGGTGTCGCGAGGATGCAAGATGAAGCAAAATAGAGGATATGAGGGTCGGATGTGCCGCCAGGTAGGGAGGGTTTGAAAAAGAGCGTTGCCAAACAACAGACTCCCACACAAACCCGACTTGGGGCTTGGTTGAGCCGGTCTCGGTCTGCCGGGGCTGGGGCAGCACGGAGCTGCTGACCCGCTCTCAATTACCGTACCATAATTAAGCAAACTCTGACTGGCGCTTGAGCGGACCTGAGGCCGACCCACGGTCGGGTCGCCGACCGCTGGGCCCTGGGTCACCGTAGAGCACGCCGCCGGGCCTCTGACCGGCCCCGGCTCTGGGATTTGGGCCACTCACCGGCCGCGATCAGCGCCAGGATGACGACGGCGACGGCCAGCGTCCGGCGCGCCATGCTGCCGCAGCGGTGCTCGGTGCTGCTGATGGCGGGTGGACGCCGCGCTGAGGCTGCTCGCGCTGCCGGGGTGGCCAGTGGCGCCGGGTTGCGCCCTTGCCGCCCGGCCGCCGCGCTGTTTACCGCCGTTACCGGGCGCCAGGCGTAACTGAAACACGACGCCATATCGACCACGGAGTGCCCCGGGCCGGTCCACGACCCGACCCGGACCGTGGTCATAACCGGGCGGCGGCGTGACGCCCCTCCGACACACCGACACGGACGCCGGCACCTGCACCGGCACCGGCTGATGTTCCTCACGCAGTCGCTGGTTCTCCACAAAAGGGTGCGCCACGACATGCGTCGCGATCCCGAAACGAAAATAGTTGCGCGAATTGATCCCGGTGCACGGCGTGGTTCCATGTCTAGGCAGGGAGGGACAAAGTTTTCTGGTGCGCTCGGCGACGATAAAAGACAGGTGAAACGTGGTTTCGAAGTCAAAATTGTATTAACGCGATATGAGGTGAAGTCTTCGAGATAATTAAGATTAGCAACGTGTTGTCATGACTATCAATTGAATCGTGGGACTTGTGGGTTCTGATGTTAAAAGCTACTCATTTTTTGTCAATTGTGCGCTAATCCGAAAGCTGAAAACGGCGTCATTTCATCACATTGGCGTTCGGGGTATGCACACTTTCCGGACAGGCAGACTCTGTCACCAACTGGGCTTGAGCAAACATTTCGCGACTTGCACCAGGACACATGAAAGCCAGAACTCGCTCAGCCTCCGGACGCCAACGCTTGCTGACCGGCTGACCAGTGCCGGTGTGAGTCGGGCTCGTTGTCGGCTGCGGCGTCGTCGTCGCACCGCAGCGAGGCCGCGCGGCGGGTGCGGTGTTGGCATTACCGCGCGGCGGCAGGCGCAGCCGGCGCCACAGTCTCTGGCAACCCGGCGTGGCGCCGGCGCCGGCGCGCGACCGGTCGGCCCGGGCCGGCCGCTGCGCGCCGCAGGGATTCGGCGCGCACGCGAGGATCCCGTGACGACCGGCCATGCCGCCGCCGGGGCTGATCACCGCCGCCCGGCTCTTCGCCGGTGCGTCTCGGCTGCAGCAAGCACTGCCGTTCAATCCCCGCTGGGGAGCTCTCCTGCGCTCGGGTCTCCGCGTTGTAAGCCTGCGCAGCGGGTCTCCACCCGTGGGTCACCGCCGCGGAAATTTCCGTCGCGAAAATCTCCGCCGCAGGGTCCCTGCCTCTCGACCTGGGTCGTGGTAGTCCGCGCCGCGGTGGGTCCAGCTGATCAGGTCTCCGCCGCACGAGGCTCCGCCGCCGGGATCGCGGCGCGCTGGCCGCCGTCATTTAGCAGGCGGCGGCCAGCGCGAGGACGAGCAGGGCTGGGAAGGTGGCCGCCCCCTGGCCGCCGGCCGGCGGCGCGCTGGACTTGGCCAACCACTGCTGCACCCGGTCGGCGGCGTTACAGAGCGCGCCCTGGCACGGGCAGATGAGCGCGCCGCCGCAACATGTCCAGCACTGCATGTCCGAGTCGAACGGCACCCGGCCGCAGCTCAGTGCCTCCCAGTTATCTGCGGGGACGGTGAGGTGGACGCGTCAGTGAAGACATCTTCAACGGGGCGGCGTCGGTGAGAGCACTAACGGTGAGGGTACTACCGCTGAGGGCACCACCGGTGAGGACACTGCCAGTAAGGGCTCCGTTGGTGGGGGTGCCGTCAGCGAAACGTTGCCAGTAAGGGCACTATCAGCGACGGCGCCGTCAGGGAGGCAGTGCCAGTGAAGGCACTATCAGCGAGGGCGAGGCCAGCAAGGGCAGCGCCATTGAACCCGATGCCAGCGAATGCTATGTCCGTGGAGGTCACATCAAGCCAGGGTTGAGCCACGCGTAGAAGATAGAACAATGGGGTCGTTAGCCGGCTGCCGGGGAAGGCGACGTGTGCACGCCTGACCCGTTTGGAGTCCGCTTAAGCACGTGGCTTGTCTCACTTACCGTGCTTAATGTCAAGGCAGATCACACTATCGTCGTTCCAAGGGCAGCTGGCCTGGGCTTGTTCTTTGGTGTTGTCGAATTGGCCGCACACCTATGACAAGGGGGAGGGGGGAAGGTCAGTGCTGGCTGAAGAGGCCGGACGGAGGGGCGGTTCGATCAGCCGGTATGAGCACACCAAAGCCTCCATGTGTTGGTGACGTCATTTGTGCAAGGAAAGCGTCCGTGCGACATTTGGTATTGAATAGATGACGGTGTCACATGGCAAACAATATACTCGACCATTGTTTACGGCACTATAGTCATTTTACGCTTCGTTCTGTTTTAGCAAAATTTACACAGATGGGTGCTTATGACTGACCTTTTGCATAGAAACATCATACTCCCAGGACTGGTAAAACGCATTTCCCAATGAGAGATGCTCTGTTTGGGGACAAATGGGCTTGCGTATTTAGCTACGCTCGGCGAGAGAAGGGGCGACGCCGCCGCTGCCACATGTGTGGTAAAATAAACCACACAGCGCACGTGATTATTCGATGATGGCACTTCGTGTAACGCTCAAACCGCTGGCAAAGTTATCTGACCTTAATAAGGCCAGCCCAGTAAGGCTGTAGCGCTGGAGCGCCACTTAACTTGATTTTGCGTGACTCGGTTCACCTGCAGCTCGGCTCTCCTCTCGCTCGGTTCACCTGCAGCTCGGCTCTCCTCTCGCTCGGTTCACCTGCAGCTCCGTTCACCTCTAGCTCAGTTCACCTGCTGCTCGGCTCGCCTCTAGCTCGCTTCATCTGCAGCTCGACTCACCTCTAGTGCGGTTCACCTGCGGCTCAGCTCGCCTCTAGCGCGCTTCACCTATAGCTCCCTGGACACCTGACTGGTGGCTGTGCTCACCTGAAAATCAGTCTCGGCCTTGTTCTCGAATGTCCGGCTGATGTTGGCGCGCCACTTGTTGGCCTCGCGCTGTGCCACATTGTCCCCACTCAGCGCCGGAATGCAGACGTTGCAGAGTAGACACTCGCCTACGGCGAACGGCGGCAAAGGGGGTCGAGCTCAGGTCAGTGGTCAGTTTAACTCAGGAAGGAGCGCATCGAATACAAGCATTTTCCGGTTTCCTCGCTAAGCAAGCAGCTGGTGAAATCGGCTACGGTCCCACGCCACTGGCCGATGAGCAATTAAATCCTAGTGCCCATTGCTGCGGTCACTGCTCACTGTAATCACGTCAGCCAAAACGCATTCCCTGGTCTCGGTGACGCGTCCAGACATGCCTTTGGGGAATGACACTTAAGCTTCCGTGAAAAGGAACGATAGTCGTCATGCCGAATGAGTGCGTGCCGTGGAGGGACTGATGGGGGGGGGGGGAGGGAGTCTTCGCAGCCCACGCGATGTATACGCCGCCGCCGGATTATTGAACGCTCGTGACGGCGTCACGGGGTGGGCAGGCGCAACTGAGCAGGCAGCTGTTTTCGTTTGTTTTGTTGAAAGGGGGCGCTCGTGGTTGATGGCAATAAATGACGGACGGGATTTTACTAAGCCAATAAGGTAAAAGGCCTGGCTTAAACTTTAGAAGTACCGCCACTTTGGGAGAGCTTTTGTCCCCTCGAATATTGTTCAAGTCTTCAGCCCCCCAATGGAAAGCCTGGACCACCTGAAACCTTATATGAACTTACGTTAGGAAACTTCAGTTTTGATTTGATATTGTGTGTTGTTTGTTCCTTGCCCAAAGAAATTGAGTGAAATCCCTTAGCAGTCGTTTTCACAACTGCTTACCGCGCGTTACATTTTGAAGCAGCTTAGGTATTTGGGTAAACCAAGCAGGTATATGGATGCTACGAGATGCCTCCGCCCATTGTATTTTGTTTAAAGAACTTGAAAACCTGCGTTGCGTTCTCGTCCATAGACTGTATGTGCCTTATGTTTGATGCGCCGTAAATCCCCATTTGACATATGATTCCTCGAGGCATCCCATTTTTGTCTTGGACTATTTTACGCGAGCTTTTATACGACATATTGATTACGAATATTTCGGGGCTGGACGTCAGCAGTGAGTGGTATCGTGCTGGTTGTTGCGTTAGTCGTAACCTCACCATCGGATCGGGAAATTTCCGAGCAGCGCAGAACTTTGTGGCGAGTGCGTAAAGTGCCGCCATGTTCGGCGCGCTGCGTCCTGCCTTCTGACGTCACCTGGTCTTGATCGTTAAAGCTTACACCTGTCGTGGACTTCACGGCTCTACCCCATCCCTCCACGGGTGGGTAGATGGAAAGGTAGGTATGCTAACAGTCATAATTATTGGTAACGCACATTTGTTTTGACAGTAAAGCCACAATCTGCATGGCGTTCGCTTGTCGTTGGCCGCCAATAATGCGGTATGGAACACGCCCCATTGGTCGGCTATCCAGAGTCGGTATAGACGATAGGCACGATAGCCACGGCCGAGGCCGCCGTGCGCTATTAGAGCTGTCGGTGGGATGTGGCGGGCGACCGATGCGGTACAGATACCGACCGATGCCAGCTTGACTAGTCGACAGCGAGGTGCTGCTGCGATCACGCTCGGGACTGCCTCCAGGCGAGGCTGAAGGTGCATTCACAGCGTACGAGCAATTCTCTGCTCCTTGTGACGTCACGTGGAAT